TGATATTGATTAAGAAGAGATATATGGCAGTCAACATCCACTTTAAATTTTTTTGAAAATTTTGGCTAAGAAATGATATTTATCTAAACCCAAGTAGACTCATTGATATGTGTAGGGTATGGCTGACGTATATATGGATTTGAAAGTTTGTAGATGAGTTTGGGTAGGGTATGGATATTTACTTTCATAATCTAAATGTGTATGAGTTGGGTATGGATGCGCATTTGTTCGAGGGTGTTTCAGTTACACATACAAAAATTAGAAATATTTGTAGAACTTCAAAAGTTTAGGCACCAAAATTTCATACACAAAAACTTTAGATACTAAAATGTAATGTTCCATCAATATTTTGAGGACTTATGTGCCAAAAAAATAAATTTAGGTTATAAATCTAAACATCTATTAAGTTTAGGTATCGAACAATAATTTGTATACTTGAGGTTTAATTCCTTTATGGTGATGTATTTAATATGATAATAATTTACTTTTTATAGAAAAATGAAAAATATTATTAGATATATGTAGATACCTAGTCAAACATTCTATGTATAATTATTGAAAATTCTAGTTCGGGTGAAAAAGAAAAACTTTAGGGAGAAACAAAATGAATACAAACTGGAACTCGTTTAAAATTTCACGCCTTCAAATCTCATAGTGGAAAATGATTACTTTCTAATGCACGAATACGAAGCCTTTGACATGATGCCAAGTGAGAGTATTCACGACATGTATTCTCGATTCACCGTCTTAATCAATAAATTAAAGGGTTTAGGTAAGTCCTTTGTTACTAAATATCCGATTAGAAAAATTCTTAGATCGCTTCCTAAGGAATGGTTGCCCAAACGGACAGCCATAGAAGAAGCTCGTAATCTCAACACCTTGCCTATGGATGAATTGAATTAATTGGATCGTTACTTCAGTCTCAAGCTCAGGAATATGAGTTAGATAATGACACTGAATTTGACAAAGAATTTGCTTTGGTCAGTATAAAGTTTCATAAAATGCTCAAGTATAAGTCTGAGCAGAAACGTCGAGGTGGAGAATTGAACAAACCTGGTTTTTATGATCGTAACAAATCATTCTCCCATGATAGGCTGCTTTCACCGCAGACCAAAGACTTAAGTGCAGGTGCTCACGAGAAGGAACCGCAAGGGTGCTACAAATGTGGGAAACCGGGACACATACTTTCCAACTGTCCTCTAACCGTAAAAGCAAAGGAGCGCGCTATGCTTGCTTCCTGGAGTGACTACGAGTCAGACTCCGATAGAGAATAGGTAACAGAAGAGGCCTACATGGCCTTTGCTCTTAATATTGAAGGTAATAGTTCAGATTCCAGTTCTGAATTAGCCTTTAAAACTGTTTCATTAGATTCTTCCACTGATTCTGATCATCAATGGTATATGGACAGCGGTTGTTCACACCATATGACTGGTAAAAGTCACTTATTTTCTACTCTATCGCCCAAAAATGGTGGTAGGGTAACATTTGGTGAGAACAGTTTTGGAAAAATAATAGGCAGTGGAACTATAGGCTCAAAACCTCAACCAATTATTCACAATGTTCCCCTTGTAGAAGGTTTGAAGCACAATTTACTGTCCATTAGTCCACTGTGCAGCAATGACAATAAGGTGGTCTTTGAGGCTTCTCACTGTCTATTGATAAGATCTCAGGATAATTCCACTATATTTGTGGGTAATCGGTTCAATAATATGTATGTGATAAATCTAAGCAATTTGGCCAGTGAAACTTGCTTGATTGCTAATCATCAATTAGAGATGCTCTGGCATCGCAAGCTGGGGCATATAAGTTTACAGAAGTTATCCAAGCTGTCCAAATCTGCTTTGGTTCGTGGAATGCCTATTTTGAAAGAGTGATCTGATTTTTTTTGTAGTTCGTGTGTTGCAGGTAAACACACAAAGAAAAGTTTTAAACCTAAACAAGGAGTTACATCAAAATCAGTTCTTGAACTGATTCATATGGACCTTTTCGGTCCTTGCAATGTAATGAGTTTAGGAGGCAAGAATTATGCATTTGTCCTTGTAGATGATTATTCACGATATACCTGGGTTTATTTTCTTTCCCACAAAGATGAAACATTTTCAAAATTTAAGACTTTTACTATGCTGTTTGAAGGGAAAATTTAAATTATCAAGAGTGATAATGGAGGGGAGTTTATCCCAGACGAATTTGAGAGCTTCTGTAACCAAACTGGGATCCTTCATACATTTTCTGCCCCACGTACTCCTAAAAAAAATGGAGTGGTGGAGCGCAAGAATCGTACTCTAATTGAATGTGCTCGCACCATTTTACTTGAATATGGGTTACCAAAACACTTCTGGGCTGAGGCTTTAAGCACTGCGTGCTACGTGGGGAATTGTGTTTTAGTTCGAAAACATTTGAACAAAACTCCCTATGAGTTATTTAAAAATAAACAGCCCAGTATTTCTTATTTTCATCCTTTTGGTTGTCGTTGTTTTGTGCTAAACACTAAAGAGAATCTCAGCAAGTTCGACGCTAAGTCAGATGAAGCCATTTTTCTAGGATACTCTGTGAAAGGACAAGCTTATCGTATATTCAATAAGAAGTCCAAAAGAGTTGAGGAATCGGTTCATGTTCGCTTTGATGACATTAACCCTTCTCTTGAGCTTGGAGAAGATGCTGCTGCCCCTTTTGATTTTGCAGAAATGTTGTCTCCTTTAAGTTCTACTCAAGAGGGTACCTCAGACATGCTGTCCGCGCCGAATCCACCTATTGTCAACTCATCTAGACTTGATGTTTCGTCAGAATCATATTCCCAGGACACGCCAGTCATTCCCCAAGCTCCATCACATATACCAAAACGTCACCCTGAAAGTCAGTCATAGGAAATTTGTCTGATGGTCTTCGTACTCGAGGTAAGTATATTCTTGGTCAGTTTGAACCTGAAATTATAAAGAGGCATTGAATGATGAGGAATGGGGGCTATCTATGTTAGAAGAACTTGCTCAGTTTGAGCATCTAAGGGTCTGGGACTTGGTTCCCCGCCCACCAAATGTGACTGTTATAGGAATAGAGTGGATTTATAAAAATAAGTCAAATGAAGATGGGGACATCATTAAGAATAAATCTCGTATAGTCGCCCAAGGATACTGAAGAGGAGGGCTTTGACTTTGACGAAACTTTTGCCCCAGTTGCTAGACTTGAATCCATTCGCTTGCTGTGTGCCTTTGCATGTTTCTTTAACTTTCCTTTATTTCAAATGGATGTCAAGAGTGCCTTTTTAAATGGTGTGATTTCAGAAGATGTGTATGTTGCTCAACCACCGGGATTGATTGACTATAGATACCCTGACCATGTCTATAAGTTAAATAAAGCTCTCTATGGTCTTAAACAAGCTCCTAGAGCATGGTTTGAGCATTTTAAAACTTTTCTTAAAGATCATAACATCAATCAGGGTACTGTTGACAAAACGTTATTCATTCAACATACTCAGAACGACATTCTGCTTGTTTAGATATATGTTGATGATATCGTGTTTGGATCCACTAATACTGCATTATGCACTGTATTCTGTGAGTCTATGACATCTGTCTTTGAGATGAGCATGATGGGTGAACTAAAGTTCTTCCTTGGATTACAGATTAAACAATCTGCTCATGGCATTTTTATAAACTAATCCAAGTATATCCATACCATGCTTTCCAAATTCAACATGACTTCTTTAAATTCCTGTCCTACTCCTATGGCTGCAAATTTAAAGTTAGATCGAGACGAGAATGGAATTGTGGTAGATGAAAAGAAGTATCAAGGGATGATTGGATCTTTACTATATTTAACTGCCAGCAGACCTGATATTTAGTACACTGTCTGTATTTGTGCTCGGTTCCAATCCAACCCTAAAGAAAGTCATTTGTCTGCTGTTAAACGGATTTTTCGTTACTTAAAGGGCACTATAGATGTAGGTCTCTGGTATCCTAAACAAGAAACCTTTTATTTGGTCGGTTATAGCGATTCTGACTTTGCGGCAGTCCAACTGACCGAAAAATCACAACAGGTACGTGTCAACTGGTTGGCACTTGTCTTGTCTCTTGGTTTTGCAAAAAACAGGGGGCTGTTGCTCTCTCTACAGCTGAGGTAGAATATATTGCTGCCGGGAGCTGTAGCACTCAATTAATATGGTTAAAAAGTAAACTTGCTGATTATGGCTTAGATGTGTCTTGCATTCCATTATTCTGTGACAATACTAGTACTATATGCATGACAAAAAAATCCTATGCAGCATTCACCCACAAAGCATATTGAAATTAAATACCATTTCATTTGTGATCTTGTTTCATCTAACACTCTTGCCTTGCAGCATATACCTACTGAATTTCAGCTGGCTGATCTTTTACTAAGCCTTTACCCTTAGACAAATTCACTTTTCTATGCTATAAGCTTGGTTTGAGGTCTTTACAGGCCATTGATGACTGCCCCTGATTTGTCTCGTTTACTTGCTGTACTTTCCTGTTTTAGTTAGGTTAATTTTTTTTCCTTTCCTTTTTGATTCCTAGAGTTATTGTGTTTAATTTTCTTACCTTCTCTGTTGGTGTTCCTTTATTTCTTTCGGGCTCTGCGTTTCTATTTAAGTACTTTTCCTTTCAGCTTTTCTCTTCGTATCTTCCTCCTGCGTGCTTTGATCTTTTGTTCTCGCTATGGAGCCTAGCTTGTCAATCACGTTTTCTGGTAGTTTGTTTTTCGAACCTGCCCTTGCCAACTACCACTGCCATTGTCAGTTTTTTGAGCGTCTCCCTATTGACCCCTCTATCCTAGCCCCATTTGAAGATTTCCATGATTTTGCTCTTGATGTAAATGATTTTATTCAAAATCTGGGATGGGGATTTTTACTTGATCAGTCTTCATCCATGTTTTGCCCCATCCTTGTTCGTCATTTTTACTCAAACCTTCGCTCTGATGGCCTTCATTCCCGAGCTTTCTCTACCTTTTTCCAAGGCCATCTCATTACCATTCCTGTTTTCGACCTTGGTCATTTACTAGATATTCCTGCTGCTGGTGAGACCATTGCTCACGAGTCTGAGTTGTGGAGAGTCAATTTTAATGTTGCTGAGGAGTTTGTTCGTCTCTCGGTTGTTCATCCTGGTCCTCCCTGTCAATGTTTTGCTGCCCCGTCTTCGAACTTTTCATTTTGTCCTCACCAGGGTCTTCCTTCCTCGTTTTCAATCCCTTGACCGAGTTACTCCCTTAGACCTCTGGGTTATGAGCCATGATGTTGCTCATATCCCTCTCAACTATGCTCACTTGGTTTTTGGCTCCATGATGTCTTTTGGTGATGTCCACTTCCCTAGCCCAGTGCCATTTGGACCCCTCATCACCCGTTTGTTCTCTCAACTTGAAATTGATCTTTCCTCGTTTCGAACCATCTCCCCTAGTCAATATGTGTCTATCGACCAAATGTTGGATGACCTGGAGATTGCGATTGGGGGAGAGGTCTTTCCTGCTGCTGCTGTCATTGAAGTCAATGAGGCGGAGGTAGAACTTGAAGAAGTGGAACCAGAGGAAGAGGATGACTCGGCTTCTGAAGATTCGTTTCTTGCAGATCTTGTGGTAAAGATGTGGAACCAGAGGAGAATGTGCAACCAGAGGAAGAGGATTATTCGGCTTCTAAAGATTCATCTCCTGCAGATCTTGTGGTACTTAATGAGACTAATGAAGAAGAGTTTGGATCTAATGAGGAAGATCGTTTTTGACGTATCTTGTGAGTGTGTCTCAGACTGGTTGTTTTCTTTTGTGTTGTTTGCCCTGAGTTGTTTGGGTTGGAACTTGCTGTCTTGAACTGAGTGTGTTCAAACCTTGTTGGTTTTTTTGGAGTTTGGTCCTTGCAGTAGTCTTTGCTGGAAATTGTTTGGTCTCTGTTGGGATTTGCTTCTGGTGGGTATCTCTTGCCTTGTTTGGAGTTTGCGTGTGCTGTATTTTGCAGGAAAAGGATCAATCGTCAATCTCTCATTTAGGGGAAGATTGATGAACGAAATAAGAGTCTTGCCGATTGATCTCTTTTGGTAAGTTTTCAAGAATCAGTCGAGTTTCAAAGCTTGAGCTCTTGTCCATCGTTTTTCCTCTTCTTCGCTACTGCTTTTGCTTTGGTCAAAATCCCTAAAACTCTTCTGTCTTTTCATAGTAACTTGCCTTCAACTTTATATATAAGAATTAGTATCTCCACAACGTCTTAATTATTAGGTTACAATTTTCTCTTTAACCTTATCTCAATCAATAAGCAAACTGTCTAGTGATTTACCAACCTCTTTATATTTTCCCTTCCTCCTTTTCGTCATCTAATCAGCAATCTGCCAGTAAATTTTGGAGCCACCAACTAACAACTTCAATCCCTAGTTTTGGACTAACTTGCAGGAAAAATATTTGAATGCTAAAAGACGAATCATGGCCTAGTCCCCATGTATGTCAAGTTTGAAAACACCTTTCTTTATCAAACATGTCTAAACTATTAATCGAGATGTCATCATTGACCCACTTGAATTAGAGGAAGGAGGTGCTCCCATGATTGCTCACATGATTTCCTAGGAGTAAAGTTGGACGTGAATTACAAGAGTGTACACCAAAATGAACCATGGGATTGGTTAACCAATCGTAGTTGGGTCAAAATTATCGAAAAGTTTTTTGTTCTTGACCCATATGTGAAACTGTTAATCAAAATGGAGTTTCACTAATATGACACTATAAGGGAACGGTTAAAGTGCTTAGTTTATACTAACTACTCTAATCACCATCCATATTTTTAAGTTCAATCTAACGGTGGATAGTAGTGAATGACTTATTTGGTATTTGACTAAATTTTAATAAATTAATTAAAATCTAAAATCTCTCTCCTCTATCGAATAATTAGAATTTCTACGTGAGAAAAATTGTCAAACTGACCCAAAAAATATACAATTATTAAACTAAGTAGCAGTTTTGGAGCCCGGTAGTAATGTTTTATAAGTTTCGTAAATGGAAGGATAGGAGAAGGGAAGGAGAAGGGAGAAGGGATAAATACTATAATGTCCTTAATAAAAGTGTTAGTATGATGCTAATACTCAATAGTCAATACATAACTACTACATACAAATCACTACTAACACATGCTAATACAGATAAAAAACCTAAAAAGCAAAGGTCATTGTCGCCTGTTAAATTCATAATTCGTCCTCGCCCTGCACTATCCCAGCAAGTTTGCCCGCTCCACCACGTCGTCCCTCGCAGCGGCGGATCTAAAAACTGACGAAAGAAAATAGGAAATGCAACGACCCATCCAATCTCAAAATCCGCCAACCAGTCTGACATCCCCACAAAGCCTCAGCCACCGGACAGAGGAAGAATAAATGATCTTTAGTTTGCTTCTCCCCCAACAAAATAGCATTGATTATAAGGTAAGATAAATGGGCTTATACTTTATAATAATCAATAGTATGAGCGATTTATGGTGAGATGGGTGGGTTTTTTTTAGTTTATATTATTCGTTTGTAATAAATGTACTACTCAACTGTAGATAGAACCATAGAAAATAGACAATATACTACTGAGCTGTAGATAGAACCATAGAAAATGGACAATATATATTAAATATGGAGATTAATATAATTAAGTGATTTTGCACGAACTTGTGCGCAGATAGTACATGTAGACTAGTAGGCATGATCCCGAATACAACTTGGAGAATGAAAAAAATGAAAAAAAAGAGATAGGAGCGAGTAGTAGTACGTAGTAGAGGAGCTAGAGAGGGGTTCTACTCCATAGAGAGAGAGGAAAACAAGATACAAAGTAGTCATACTCATAAAGATGAGGAAAATCTGCTCTGGGATGATGATTTCCACTCATATGACGATCTCCAAGCTTGATTTGATGAAACCCAGCTCCAAGATGGCTTCTAGGATGTGTTCTTCGTCCTTTCTCTCTCTAAAACTCTGTTTTTGCTCAAAAAGTCCGATTCTCTCTCTTGCAGCCCGAAATTGGGTTAAAACCAGGAAATCCCGACTCACACGGGCAGGGCCACACGGCCGTGTGGCATACCCAGTTGCCCGTGTGAGTTAAAACGCTGCGTTCCACTTAGTTCGATTTTCAGGCTTCTCACACGGCCAGGTTGGCACGGCCGTGTGTGACTTCCATCTGCCCGTGTCTGCTCTCGGCAAAAGTCACACGGCCAGACCACTTCATCACACGGCCGTGTGAGTTGTCAGGGCAGGCCGTGTTTGCTCTCGCACAATCTCACACGGCCAGAAATATGAGTTGCACGGCCGTGTGATTTCTGGGTGTGCCCGTGTGGCCTCCTTTGTGACTTGCCTCGCGCCCGATCTTCGTCCAATCGACCCCAAACTCGCTCCCAAGCCTCCATTCACGTACTAGGACCTGAAATATCACAAACAAGCACAACCTAGCGTGAAATCGGCCTAAAACACGAGAAATCACATCTCAAACGGTGTAAGAACAGGGGTAAAATCATGTGTAATTAACGGTCTATCATCAGCCCAATGTAGTGAACCCAAACTTACATGAAACCTCCCGAAGCTAATCAGAATATCCCTCCGTGAACAATAGATTCCGATTTTTTCTTAAGGAACAGTAATTTTGATTTTTGGTAATTTTTTTTAACTTGTGGTATAATAATTCTAATACTACTCAGCTATGGATAGAATCATAGAAATGGACAATATATATTAAATATAGTGATTAATTAAGTCGTTTGCAAGAATTTGTGCGCGGATAGTACAAGTAGACTAGTAGGCGTCATCCCGAAAGAGTTCACTTGAATACAGTGATTAATTAAGTCGTTTGCACGAATTTAAGGTGAAAATCACCTTTTTTTTTGTCGAAAGAGATTACTTGAATTACCAAGAAAATGAAAGTTATACGAGACCAACTTCTGAGCACAAACACACTCGGAAGTCAAAACCAACCAACACCCCGTAGGAAACAAATCCAGGGCCTTCTTGGCCACAAAATGATCCCAAATACAACCTGGAGAATGAAAAGTATAAACCAATCCATGAATCCAATCCACCATAACATAAAAGTATAAATTTAGTTTGTATCATACAAGATGTTGTATCACTCAATTGTAGGAGAAGATTCGATCATTTTATAATTACTCATTACGTAAAATATTAATAAATGATAAAAGAGAGACGAGTCTAAATATTGTAAGAGCGAATTTGTAAACTCATTTAGTACATTTGCGGGTGCTAAATAAACTTCTACTAACTACATGTACTAAAATATGTGAAACCTATAGGAGTGTGCAACGGTTTGGTCCAAACCGACCATTAGTGAAAAGCCATCTTAGGACCAAGGACCGGACCATCATTGCATTTGGTCCATTTGGTTCAATTCAGTTCGATTTGGTTCAAATATCAGTTCGACCCATCATTACTTCATTAATTGTAAATTTCATGTGGACCAAGGACCGAACCGCATTGTACTCGGTCTGATCCTGGACCGGACCATTGCACACCCCTAGACATCTAAATAAGCAAGTGTCAATAAATTTTTATGGTGAAAAGTGTTGACTGCTGTATTGACAGCCAACTAAAAGAATTGGTCAAAACTTATCCATCATCTACTTCCTCTTCGTTTCATTTTCACTCACCTTCCATAGCCCTTTCTTTTCTTTCTTTGCTTTCTTCGTTTAACCCTAATTAGTATACTATTTTTATGTATTCTAATCACAAGTATCAACGGGTCCAGACACGACTCACCAACAGTCTATAGAATTAATAATTTAACGATGAACCACTAATTTGTTTAGCTCAATGTCGAGTCCAAGTAAAAACAAATATGTTTGACTAGGTTTCTACACATACCAATTAAATAGTTCCATTTTTCTATAAAAAAAATTAAATAATTTTCATCATAAATACATCACCATAAAAGGAATTAATCCTCAACTATACAAATTAAAGTTCGGTATCTAAATTTAATAGATATTTAGATTTATAACATAATTTTTTTTTGGCATATAAGTCCTCAAAATATTGTTGGAACATTACATTTTAGTACATAAAATATTTATGTATTGCATTTTGGTACCTAAACTTTTGAAGTTCTACAAATAGGTCTAATTTTTGTATGTGTAATTAAAATACCCTCGTATAAAGTGAGAGATTAGAGAAGAAAAGCGTTGCATATTCAATGTTCCCCCTAGGGCTCCTAAACACGCGCCCTCGATGATCGGAGCATACGAGCTCCGATTTCTTATTTTGTTAGATTGCACCTAGTCCCTTGAGGCATCACACCATTTGATTGAATGAGATTCGATCGAGTAGGATTGTTGTTTCTAGACCTATCCTAAATAACTAGGATTTCAATCCTTGCACCTCGAAGGAGTGCAAGATAAAATAACCAGTTATTCGAATCAACAAATAACAAAAACAGGAAATCAAGCATCACACATATGAAAACCAAACAATCGTATTAAACCAAATCATCAAGTTTAAATGATTAAAACCCCTAAGGTTCACATACCTACGCAACTAAGGAACTTAGCCAATCACGGGGGGAGTTTATGGGTGTTCATCCATGGAAATGAAGACACCAGGAGGCCCACGGGAATCAACGACTGGAAAAGAGGAACAGACTCTACAACGCTGTTTTGGCCGCCGATTCTCCCCCTTAGGGTGAATTTGATCTAAGTCACGAGGGTTACTCTGTCGGAAGAGTAACGACCCTTGCTTGACCTCTTATCTCCCCCTTCTTGAACTCTACCTCTAGAGCCCTATTTATAGATCTTCCATTAGGCTTCATGAGAAGGAAAACTCTCCCCTCATGCATCATTCGTCCAATCAGAGCGCACATACACGTGGCCTCACTTTTTCTTTATTGAAATAGTGCTTCGAGAGCCATTTTTCATTCAAATCCTGGCTCCATCAACTTGGGCTCGATTTCCACTACGGCTTCCAAATGGTCCAATAGACTACTTTGCCTTGAAAATGCACAAAATGCTACCAAAAGCGTATCAATCGTATAAAAGAAATCCTAGCATTGCTAGAAAACACCTGAAGA